GGATCAGCATAGCTTTCATTTGGGTTTTGATTGAACCAAAAAAACGGACCTTCCTCGGGCAACCAGTTGTCATCATCGCAAAACTCCTTGTACAGCATACCAGATTATCTCCAACCATCAAAAATTTAAGCAAGTGTGGTTTTGAAATACCGGTAATGTCTGACGCAACGTACGAGTCCACTATACTAATCCAATCTTCCATCGTATCGAGGAAAATACATTTGGGAGACTTTTTGTGGGATTGCTCTATAAGCTCGAAGAACTCGTCCATAGTATAAGCGTCTACGTCTCTCAATTTCTTCGAGAAAACGCTGAAAGTAGCGTCAACGTCTGTATGGGTGTGTCCCACCAACATGAAACCTATTTTTACCTCTTCGAAAACTCCGAACTTAACCAATAGTGCAGCCATCGCACATATGTACTTGTTCTTGTTTTTCCGCCAACTATTATCTGCTTGAATGCGCAAAAACCGTGGCAGTGGCGTCCCGCTCCCTTGAATTTCAACAAGGGTTCTCATAACACAAGTAGCGACCGTCTTTGAATCGTGTTTGAAATACGGAAACCATGTGTATACATATATACTAGGGTCTCTACCGTGTCCAATGACGCCTGTCAGATTAGTCTTCATCATATCTCGTGCCTAAGCGCTTTCGAATAGTTCGCTTGACCAATATGGGGGATAGTTGTTTTCTTCTGATCCATGCCGTCAATGATGAGACACAAACGCTCGTTCGGACGAACCATGGAATCAGTTTTCTCTCGATTGTAGTCCAATATGTGGTGTGCTTTCATATTCTCTCGATCTTGTTCTCGATCTCGAGGAAGAGCAGCATATTGTATACGTTCCTTCAGTTCATGACAGACGGCGCACTTCGTGAACGTGTTAGATTGCGCGAGGGAAACGTGGAAAAAGTGTCGCCACCACAGTTTATAAAAGTTGGACTCAGACACGACATCGAGGCCAGCGGCCAGAAAGTCTGATTTGATGGACTCATAAATTGATCTTTTCCTGAAAGTAGCCGGGAGTTGAAACTTCGGTCTGGAAACCCCACCTTGGTTAGCCACCTCATTTGGCATGCTATCCGCATGACACTCGATGACCGTTCTCATGCTGGCAAGCATGGAGACTGTTTTATCGGTTGGCCGATATCTTCCCGTCAGGCCATGCTCGGAACGCACGTAGTCATTGTCAAAACGCTTTTTGTAGCTGTAAAATGTATTACGCGAGACACCGAGTACATTGCAGTATGCCCTGAAGCACGTTCCAACTCCACAGAGCGGACACGTTTCTGTCCACCCTCATTTACTGTGAAATCCTTATTACTTTTCATCCACCACTTAGCTCGCTGTCCCGGACTCTTACTGTACAGTCCCTGTCTAACCTTTCGCACTTCCTCTGGTGACACATCGTATCAACATCGAGCCTTGCAACATGCTATGCCACTCACCATGAGCAGTCTTTTTTCGGACAGGATGTTTTTCGCCCTTTGGTACTGTTCTTTCCTCCTAGCGTTCCTATTAGCCATGCTATACCTTCGTCTTTCGCCTGGCAGAGGTGCGGGCAAAATCTGCAGTATCGCCCTTCTCTCTGCATCACCCCTGCCAGACGCTTCCGACCCAGACTGACTCTCAATTGGAATCGCATCATCACTTTGCACTTGCATTGGACTCGCCCGTGATGCGGAAAGTTCCTCCGAAGAATAGTCGGTGGTAACCAACTTCGTACTACTGTAGCTAGCGCGAAGCAAAGGTCCACTGGAAGAGGACTGTTGTCCATACGAGTAATCAGTGGCCACCAACCGCTCACTCTCGTCATCAGATGATGCGTAAGAAACACCCATTGGCACACAACTATTGTGCGCCTAAGCTATGGGGTGCACCTCGCGAGGAATGTGGAACTCGATCCGGGAGGTAGACAGTTCTTTGCCCGCGGACGCCAAATCTGTAGGCAGTTGGATGCAACCTCCAAAGCTCTCACGATAAGCGAGACTCCGTTTTTTGGGAAGAGTTGCAGCGGACTGTTGGAACGGCGAACTGTCCGAAGAGGTCGTCCGGGTCAATTCGAGGTGTTGTAGCTGGTAATGCAAGTCGACGGCTTGTTCAGTTTCCATACCCCGGTTCATGTGGCCGTTCGCCGAGCCATCTTTGGCGCCGTCATGTAACCGTAGGTGCAGCGGATGCACTTCCCGTCAGCGTAATCGATTAATCTCTCTTGTGCGGATTGAACGGGTCATACAAATTTGTGTCCACACCCTGCAAAACAGCGGAGCAAACTGTAAGCATGATTACTAAAGAAGGGCCAACCTGCCCCCCCCCCTCCCCCTCCTCAGAGCCGATTCCCAGCGCAGCAGCCGAACAGGGCGAGCTCGTCTGAAGGCGATCACAACCCCTGCAGCCAAATTGCCGTACGTGGGGTGTCACAGACGATTTCACACACCACGACATGCGAAGTGCGCCGACATCCGAACTAGGCAGAGATCGAAGTCCTTTGAATGCCTGAAATGCATGTGCCGAAGGGAAGCTCAATTTTTCTCGCATCGACTCCGGCGCTAAGAATTGAATTGCCCCAATAGAGAACGGAGACACCCTTCCCCTTCTTGCTTTTTATACTTTTGTAGTTGCACGTTGAAGTCTGTAGCAGCTGTCAAAGTCAAACCCCTTGACCTTTTTAAAGGCCTCCGCAGATGGAACTCAGCTGCTACAGAGGGCCTTGCCCCCCCTACCCGTCGCTCCCGCAGGTAGTTGAAGAGGGTAGGTAACTCAACCGTCTTGGCGGTTGTTTAGCGTCGAGAGGCAAGTCCCTCAAGGCGCGTATCAACCGACACTTGAGTGTCGAATGAGACCCTTGACAACGCCGAGGGATAGGCAAGTATGGACAACATATAACATGCCATCGCTTCGATAGTTTGCGAACTCATGCATGGCCAGTGTTTATGGGGAAGCCTGTAATGCGGCCCACATTAATAGATGTCTACCTCTCGCTGCCTGCATGTGGTCGGTGATATTTGGTTATGGGCCGGACACTCCACCGGCCAGGCGTGAATCTATGTCGTTAATTTGTTGACACATTTCTGTTTGTATGGTGCGCCCCATAGGACATGTCCTATCAGGAGTTAGACGTGCACAATGGACGGTCGAACTGTCGCGGACCACAGAAGTCCGCCGGGATCCGAACTTCGCAGAAATGGAATCGATGGCTAACCGGTTATCAACGGGTCGCCGTGAACTGACTGTCAGCCAATCGTCATAACGAATGCAAGGCTATGACAGGCAGGAGACAAAAAAAAACATGGCTTAATGACCCTCAACCGACCCCTGCAAACCCCGATTAACTGCACGTCGATTCGAAGGTTGTGCGCTGGGACTCAAAGCCTTTGCAGCCCGCGCGACTTCGATACCGAAGCACCTTCGTAATGCGCGAACCGCAAATCACGTCGTGGAAGAAGCATGACAGCGACTTAACCACACTTATCGCGATGTTGGCTTTTATTGAAGGGCAACGAAGATCGACAGCATACAGGAAATGGACCCGGCCACTGTCATTGTCGTCAACCCCAATAAACCCCTTTTAGGGCAATTCACAAGGCGAGCACTTTTGCGCACTACCAGGCCGCCGTCATTGAAGACAGACGGGGAAGTCGAAGCTGTTGAAAATAACGGCCAGATTTACGCGGAGCCTCAAAGTTCGTCGGGATCCGAATTTGGCGGGTGCTTGAGTAGCCAGGAACTTATTTTTGCGCGGCTGGTGCCAGTGCAAGGGAGCGCCAGCGGGTGCACACAAGGAACGCTATGTCTGGGCGCACAGAAGGAAAGCTCTGTCGCTCTCAAGTTTTCGTTGTACGACAGCACGCGCAGAACAAAGGGTAATGGTGGATGCACCACCACACAATTCGGTGCAGCGCGACCCCAAACTGACCCCTATAAACACCGATTCTCACCATCGTTCAATCAGGTGTACACTAGCACAAGAGGTTGACAAACTCGGACATGTACACTGCGCAAACATGAAAAATGTAGAATGGCTTCTATTGGAGGGCAACGAAGATCAACGGCATACAGGAAATGGACCCGGCCACTGACACCGTCGTCAACCCCAATAAACCCCTTTTAGGGCAATTTCAAAAGCAAGCACTTTTGCGCACTACCAGGCTGCTGACATTGAAGACGGACGGGGAAGTCGAAGCTGTTGAAAATAACGGTCAGATTTACGCGGAGCCTCAAAGTTCACCGGGATCCGAATTTGGCTGGTGCTGGAGTAGCCAAGAACCTGTTTTCGCGCGGCCGGTGCCAGTGGAAGGGAGCGCCAGCGGGTGCACACAAGGAACGCTATGTCTAGGCGCATAAATTGAAGGCTCTGCCGCGCTCATGTTTTCGTTGTACGATAGCACGCGCAGAACAAAGGGTAATGGTGGATGCACCACCACACAATTCAGCGCAACGCGACCCCAAACTGACCCCGATAAACACCGATTCTCACTGCGGATTTCTGTGGCATGAAGTTTGTTTGAACCAGCGCTGGAATCCGGCCGCTTGCAAGTCCGGAGTGCGACGAACGCCGAGGTCTGCGTAATGCAAGCAATTTTGTGCACCCAGAGCCCTCTGATAATCTGATCACACGCAATAGTCGAGGCCGTCATAACGGGCGGTTAAATTTTTCGCGGGACCTCAAAGTCCGCCGGGATCCGAACGTGGCGGTTGCTGGACAGGCGAGGAACCGGTTTGTGTGGGGGATGTCGGATATCTCGAGGATGGGTGTTGAAGTGCACAGAAGGAACACTATGCGTGTCTGCATGGTCAGGGAGGCCCTTTTGCTGCTCGCAAGTCACGGTGTCTGTTCGACGAGAGCACGCACAACAAAAATTCAACAGAAATGGTAGTCGTAGGTGCACCACGTCAGAAATTGGCACAGCGCGGCCCCCAATAGACCCCCATAGACGCTGATTCTCCCCACTGACAAAGCGAGCTTGTGCGACGATTAAGTCACAAATGTTGTGATCCGTGATGACAATGACTCGACCCACAAAAAAAAATCACCATGGCTGGTGCCCCCCCCTGCAACCCCATCTAACGACGATTCGTCCAGTCGACAAGGCGAGGCCCGACTCGCTCGCTGCCAACGTCGACATATGATAGCGCAAACCGCCATGAGCGTGGAGACACGGGAATGTCGACGGCCAGATTGCACGCATGCCGATGACGACACCACCGTCGGCAACCCCCTCAAACCCCAACGAGGCAATTCGACAGGCTGGTACTTTTGCGCACCCAAAGGTCTCTGGCGACAACAACACATGCGAAAGGCCAGACCGTCGGAAATGGCCGGTTAGATTCAAGTCGAACCTCGAAGTCCGGCAAAATCCGAACTTGGCGGTCGCCAGAATAGAGAGGAACGGGTTTCTTCGCGGCAAGTTGCATATTGGACGAGCTGATTAGCGGGAAACGCGACGATCCACATCTGAGCTTCAGTGGACAGAACCAAAACCCGTCGTTAAGCACCCTCAAACAGCCCCTACGACCCCCAATTAGTCCTGCAGACAAGGCGAGCTCGCACTCGGGCAATGGCAAGTTCCACAGGCAGGTTCATGGTGGTCAATGAAATTCCACAAGATCCGAACTTGCTCTCGGTTCCACTGAGGGACCACGAACGGGTGCCGACCACGAAGTCCGCCCGGATCCGAACTTCACATCTGTTGCTGCGTGTCGACCGAGAGCATGACACACTTTGTTTTCGTTGGGGTCCCAGTGACAGGACTGTTTTTTTGCGGGAACGTCACCCAAAGAACAGTTATGTACCCAGGACTCCGTAAAGATCCATGCAAACCGTAAGCATGTGATTTCAGCGATGCGGTCGAAACAACAATGACCATGCAAGCAGCTGACGACTTCGCATGCTTCAGATCACAAGTCCGCCGGGATCCGAACTTCGTGTTGTCGCCCTCACGTGATGACAACTGGCAGGGCGTTCTGAACTATCGACCCCATGCCCTAAAGCTGGAAAATTTCTCGCAAAAGCTAGTCATCAGGGCACCCGGGAACGACATTGTGAATGCGAACACGAAACAAGCAACCACAAAAAAAAAACGTTGAGTCGCGTGTGAAAACCTGGCGAAAATGGAACTTTGGATGCCGGCAAATTACATCAATCATGCGCTGTTTTCTCAGAGGCGTGTGCTCTCCCAACGACCACGCGACGGAAACACAATGCCACTTCCGTGAGAGCACTGCGCATGATTGTTGTAGTTCGCCGGTATCCGAACTTCCCATCTCGCCAGGCAACGACACGCGATTCGCCTTTTTATGTTTGGCGGTTGTTGGTTTCGCGCCTGCAGTCACAATGGCGACCCCCCGTTGCCCGACGACTAAGACGTGTCCCGGAGGCGGCCGGGTTGTTCGTTATTGAACGAGGTCATTTTTTCGTGTTGAGGTTCTCGTCACGAAACATGCGGCGCTCACGCCGAAGAAACGGCATTGTCATTGTAGCGAGCAGTGTTGTCGTTCTCCATCGTGCGCACGCAACGTGTGCATTCTTCGTCCTGGATCCCGCGGATGTTGGGCGCACAACACTGACATTTGTTGTACGCAATGTGCTGTCGCGTCCCTCATGACCTGCGCCAGACACGCGCGCTCAACATCCGTGGCCTCTATGGTGGATAATGTGCACGTTATGTGCGCAGGATGGAGACGACACCAGCTCTCCCGGGATTGACTCCATAGTCTCTCCGGGAAGGGCACAAGTGTTGTGGCGAGAACATGAAAACAGAACGACGACCCCCACCTGTTGATGAACACCATCCCTCTCATTGCACGCCACGTGGATGGTGGACATCCTTCGCACGGTGGCCACCGCGCGATGCTTAATACCAACCCTGGTCGCGCGCAGCCCATGTGGCGCCCGCTGGTCGTTCAACACACCTGCCGCGACCACTGTCTGTCCTGCGAGGGATTCGAACCATCAGTCATGGATTTGCAGTCCAATATATCTCCTTTGTGTTAAACAACCTCTGAACTATTTGATGAGAAAACCAAACGTGCAAAGAACGTTTGTCGACGGGATCTCGTGTTCTGCTGGAAAAAGGCGATTTCGTGTTTGCCTCAACCACGCGGGAGTGTTTTGCAATGTTCAGTATGGCAACCACGTGGGAGTATTTTTGCAATGTTCAGTTGGCTCGTCTTCAATGCCAAGCGAAGCAAGAATCATGAGGCCTGTCGCGAGGAACAAAGGAGTGAGAAGAGAAGGAAATACAGAAACCATCTGGCACATCGCCGACCCAAGCAGGAATCATGGGGGCGATCGCGTGGAACGAGCGAGAGGGAACCAGAAGGGAACACAATAACCGTGTGCCCCAATGTCTTCGTCATCCGTTCCCTCCGTCCCCGCCACTTACGACACGTGCAACGATATGATGATCATCGGGGTGTTGATGAAGATGATGATGATGCTGATTGCGATGCAGATGATGCAGATGATGATGATGATGATGACTACGACGATGTCGATGATGATGATGTTGATGACTACGACGGTGGCGATGTTGATGACTACGACGATGTCAATGATGATGATGATGATGATGTTGATGATATTGTTGATGATGATTAGGATGATGATGATCGTGATGATCATGATGGTGTTGATGATGATGACAACGATGATGATGATGATGATGACGATGACGTTGACGATGAGGATGATGACGATGACGTTGACGATGAGGATGATGACGATGATGATGATGATGATGACGATGATGATGATGATGATGATGACGATGATGATGATGATGATGATGATGATGATGATGATGATGATGACGATGATGATGATGATGATGATGATGATGATGATGATGATGATGATGATGGTAAGCAAGAGTCATTGGGCCGCTCGCGAGGAACGAACGAGTGGGAAGCAAAAGGGCATACAGAAACCATGTGCCCCAATGTCATCGACATCCGTTCCCGCTGTCCCCGCATTTTGCAACACGTGGCGAGAAGCGGCTGCTCCCATGTGCTAGCAAGCATGTGCGACGACTGACACGCGGGCAGGCAGAAAACAACTTTACCTTAACGAGGGCACAACGCACACGATGGTGCAGCTCTCTGACGGGGCACAATTCCTAGACGTAGCGCAGTTCTTCGACGATGGCGAAGCGTGCACGATGGCGCGACTATTCGACAAGGGCTGAGCGCAGACCACGACGGCCACTTGCTAACGCAGAACGCAAAGAAGGAATGTCGAAGCGCCGACAACTGGACCCCGGTAGCGGGCAGAAGGACGGGAAAGAGTTGGCGACGAGAGGGACGCCCGCAGACACGTGGCGCAACAGCGGAGCAGCAAAGGCGATGGAGGAGGTCGCCGAAGGGACGTCGCGCGCGAATGCGCTCGTCACGGCTGGAAATGCGAATGCGCTACACCGGACCCCAGGCAGCGGAGCCCCAAACTGTCATCGCACCCCATGGAAAGACCCGCCTGTGTCCCCCCGCGCGGCCTCAGACCCCGATCGCCAGGCAGGGGACGCGA